TCTATAAAGCTGCAAATCGCGCAGTGTATTCTCAATAGTGTTGATTTTGCTGATACATCCCCAGGGTTAGCAGTTGGCAACCTGAAGCAGTGAGCAAAAGCAAATACATGTATTTATCAACTAATAAGTGTGTTTCCAGCTCCTGGGACATCTCGGACAGAACCAGCTGAGGCTACAGACTCTGAAATTTGGGATAAATAATGGAATGCCTACAGAAAGGGAGATACAAATCAAAATTAATGTTAACCGCAAAGGCTGCCCAATTGCAGTGGTTTCACTTACTTCATCAGGACTCGATTGCACTCTGATTAGCTTTCCCCAGACAGCAGTACACAGGTTCAGTATGTTTATTTAACTCCATTAGAAATTTGAAGTGTGGACGTCATTGTGATCATCCAGGCCTACCTACAGGGCTTAACACTGTGTTCTATTATTGACTGCTTTTATTGCTCCTTTCAGTCTATCTCTTTTTCTCCAGTGCTACATAACACATAAGGATGCATTTACATTTTCTGAATGGACTAATCATGGCTCTCTGCTTTGAGAAGGAATGTGCAGCCTCCCACATAACCACATGGAAACCAACAGGGAAGAGTAAACCAGAAATAAACCCGTTCTAGGGGGTTGAGAGAAAAATACCCACCAAGATAATTGGGAGGGATGTACAGAGAAGAAGCAACTGAACACATAGTCACATCTTAAAAAAAATTATAATGCTAAAAATATCCAGATGAGGGACAGCAAGAGAAAACATGATTGAAGCGGAACAATTGGTAGAGGAGTTAATACTTATTAGCAATCATTTTAGATTGAATATAGGTTGGTTTTGTAACAGCACAAGGAACGCTGCACTTGACAGGACTTAAACAGTTGCCTCCCCCTTTCCGAAAGAATCTAGTTAGCAACACCCTGGCAAAAATTGATCAGTCTGGCGTGCACCTAAAGAGTTAGCCGAAGCAAATACCCTTACTAAAAGTTTTTATTTGTAAAATACAGTGACATTAGATCCCAAACAAGTATTTCAAAATGTCTCCTCCCTATGTTCCAAACTTTAGTATGTTTTAACATTTAGCCTACTGTATTTTTTCCTGTAGCCTTAAAAAAATAACGCTGAGAAGTCAGACGAAGATCAACCAGTTCAGTATCTTTCTTCCAGTGGTATCCAAAAGCTATTGCCAGGACAAGAGTATAAGAATGGAGCAAGTGTATGTGATATTTTTGCAAGTACTCTCCCATCGTTTAACTGTTTGCATGTCAGATATTTACTGAGCCAGTGTGCTTTCTATGCATTTATTAACTATCAGCGGACCTCTTTCCCTTGAAATTGAAATTGCCTAGTGTCCCCTTGAACCTAGGTCAACACCATTTAGGAACATTTAGCATCCAGACATCCTGTGACAAGAAGATTTACAGCTAAATTACATGTTCTGTATTATGTGAACGTACTCCCTGTCTTACATCTCCTGACACTGAATTATCAGCTATGCGCATGTGAGAAAGCAAACACTCATTTCCAGATTTCCTAAATGTTCAGAAGAAATTTTTGCACAGAAGGTGAAATTGAAAGAGAGTTATTATGAAGGTATTGTAAGGTTCATGAGCCACATCCATTTTATTCATATCTGAAAAGCTTTGTGCATTTGAATGTAAGTATTTTTCAAAGTTCCTTCTTGTTTCAGAGAATTTGTATGTACTATTTGTTAAAGAATATTGCTAGTGACAAAAAAGGTATGTCTAGCACAAGGGTGTTAAAGACAAGTAGAAATATGGCATAGGGCTTAGAAGTTCATTCTATGTCTTCTCTCATATACTGGAAATAACAATGTCCAAAGTTTTCCAAGTAATATGAAATTCTGCTTTCTTCTGGATGAAGCCTGATTTTTGTTTCCATCCAAATATTCCCTGCAGTTTCAGAGGTAGCTTCAGAAGACCATTTCATATAGTAACATGGGTGCCAAGGATGAGAAAGGCTAGGAGTAAGTCAGTTCATATCTGGTCCTCAAGGTTTTTACAGTCCCAGGGCAGTTTGGCTGTTACACAGTGTGGACCCTTATCTGTCCAGTAGGCTTAAAACGACCCATTTGGCAGCAAGGGTTTTTTTAAAATATGGCAATGCCTTATGAACTATTTTTTTTTAATCCGGTGATGAACATAGAGGCCTACGAGGTAATTATACTTTCCGAGAGTAAGTTGTACCATGGAAAGAGCAATTCTCTGTGGCATTTTGAGATGTATCAAAATGTAAGCATTATTAGCTCAGATTTGAATTCCAGAGTGTAAACAAACAGAGGATGGGAGGCTAGAGATTTGCTGATTTAATACAAAGGATGGATTTTAGAAGAACACCACATGGAAAATCGTACTTTGTGTGCTAGGCCGTTCTGTTGCATTGAGGGGGGGCATATCTTAGTCACGAGTCTTCGCTGGTCTGTGCCATTGTTCAGACCTTTCAACCTAGCTGCAGAATACTGCAGTTCTGTTCCAGTGGTATTTACCAGCATGTTTGTAACTTCTGTTACCAACTGACCAGTGCCTTGAGCTATTGCTTATGGCAGTAATAGCCGGAGCGAGTATGAGAATGAATACACTGAACCAACAATGAAGTGCCATTAAAGGAAAAGCTGAGTATTTTTCCCAGGTGGGTGTCTTATACTTCAGCAAAGCTGGGAAAGATTAAAGTGCAATCTTTGTGCTTGTACTGCCTTGCATACAAGCAGTGCATGCAGAGTGAGTGGATGTCAAGCTGTGATTCCCTTGTGAGAGGAGTGCATATATATAAATCACCTTTGCTTTTTTTTTTATGTGGATGTAACCTACTTGCTACAGTGGGCTTCATGATGATTTGGGATTGGGTTGTGGGTGCAGGATCAGGATGGGCATGATGGATGCTATGTGATCGCTTACCTACTCTACATCACTGCCTGGCCTTTCATGCAGAGCGTGAAAGTGACCCAGAAGCAAAATGTAAAGGAAAAAAGGAAGCTGTAGAGCTCTGGGTAGGATCCATCTTAGCTACGCTATAACCTACACTAACTATTAACCCAGCCCCACCTGGCTTTTCAGGGTTCACATGCTTCTCTCTGAAGTCTGAAACATGCACTTTTGCTTTATAAATGCTTCAGTGTACCAAGGTGAAGTTCTTTTTTACACGCGTGCAATCTCAATGCATGTGTGCCTATGGACGTTATATGCAAATGTAATAGCATGGCAGACTTTACACCATGGCTTCATGTACAAGTAACTGCATGAAATGCAATTGGCTGGCATTTTGTGGTATGTGACACATCATGTAAAGCAATTCACCTCAATCACGTCAGATAACTGCGCTATAGCTATCTTTAGAAATAATAAGGGAAAAGGCAGGGCCCAAACTCACATCTTTGTAATTCTGCTGACATACAGTTATTCCTCCTGATGTTACCATTTCAAATGGTCAGGAGATTTGAAGTCTGCCCTTCTCTTTCTTTCTCTCTCCATCATATTTGCCTGTCATGACATACACTGTCTATGTAAACAAAAGATAACCACATGGTACAGAAATCAGTGGAAAGCACTTTTACAAAAACTGTTTAGAAGTATGGGAAGGAAAGAATAAAAGTTCTAATGTAACAGAATTTCTGTAGTATGAAAAAGAAGTGAAATGAAAAAAACAATGAAAACTATGGAGACACTGTTCTTTACACTTCTTTGATGGAATTGGCAATATTGTCAATAGACTGTTTTTTCTCGATTGCTATAGGCAATTCATGGACTTTTACTTCAAAAGAAATAGAAAACCATAAGCGCAGCATTATGAGGTTTTAGGATCATTCTGTGGTTAAAGAAGAACAATTACACGAAACTCCGAATGTGTGAGGAATATAACCCATGCTGTTTTGCAGTGAGTTGCATGTATAACCTATTTGACCAGTTATATTATAATCTTATGGCTGGTTATTTATAAAACAGTCAAGTTGTTCTTCTTTTTTGACTTTGAACTCCACTCGAAGAACAGTGATTCATGCTCCACATGCTGTTAGCTCTATGGCTCCATGCTTTGCATGTGGGAAAGTCAGGCTGAGAGAGACTTGAGAATTAACATGTGAGGATCTGTTATCTGTGTAGAAACCACCTACAGTCAATAATTTTGAACAAAAATACTTCAGCAATGAATAGGACCTAGTGCTATCCTAGAGTCTGCTTCCCTGTCCTAATCCCCAGTTTCCACCGGTTTCAAAAAGCCATATGAAACTTCCAACTGAAGGGCAATGGGAAAATATTAAGATACAAACAGGAGCAGTGCAGACTTCCTTCATGCCACAAAGGTCACTGTAAACCTTGCACAAAATCTACTTGCAATGCTCAGAGGAGTATTTCTGAAAGATTTCCTTCCAGGGCTTCTTCAAGAAGGGGTGACAGATCTCCCATCCTTCACTAGGAAAGATTGTTCAACATCAAGACTGGTGCTGAGAAGGAAATTCTAAGGGACACGAGTTTTGCCGTAGGTAAAAAAAAAGAGTGTTGTAAGAGAAAAAAAATAGTGTTTTCCCGCAAACAATTTGACTGAACAATCTCATTCTTTGGGGAAATGGAATGTACCTACATTGTATGCTATCTACACATCCTCCTCCTCCAGTTTTCCCTGTCACTCTGTTTCCATTGTGTCTATGTGAGAGCAGTGTTAAGCATCAAACTTCTAAAAAAGGTCCTAGCTTCTTAGCAACTCTAAATGCCTCTGGAGCATTTAATAACAATTGCTTATTGGTTTGCAGTCAGTGTTTTAGAAGAAAAAATTAAGATGGTCTGCATTTTTAATTCGAAAACTCACTTTCACCTACTCTGTTTCAGAAGAGAGCAGCTTAATGCATCATTTGGTATAATGACAAGTATTTTCTTTTTCTACTGTCTTTCTTTGCACCGCTAGGCAGGGGTGATTACAGTGGCTACTATTGTCTCCGTTCCCTTACCAGGATATTCACATTTGCATTTCTTGAAGAAAAGCACCAACACATCTCTCTTACCTTCAAGCCATACGAATCCCTGGAGCAGAGGTGGCAGTACTTTGTGTCCAATATATCCAAAACACCTACAGCTCTCCACCGTGGCTTTTCTCGAGCTCCCCCGGGCTTTCGGGCGGACTTTGGGGGATTCAGTATTCACGCACGAGCAGAGGAGCAAAAAGCAAAGGAATCACCTGCCTGACCCCTTCAAACTGGGACTCACCCGGTGCAACTCGCTGCGGTTAACCCCAGGCTGAGCGAGCGACTGCTAGAACTTCCAGAGCTCGGGGGGTGTCTCAGCTTCCTGGGAAGGGCGATTTCGGAGCCGGGCTCTCCCGCAGTAATTCGCTGTCCATCGCTTTCAGCACGTCGCTGCCTGGCGAAGCAGCAGCCCCGTCTCCATTTCCCAGAGCCCAGATCTGGCTAGCTGGCAGTCAGAGCCGCCCCTTCCTCCCACGCCGGGATCCCAACAACGCGCTTCCACTACCGCTCCCTTCGCCGGCCGAGGGGTGCGATTTCCCGCCGCGCTTCCCGTGCTGCCTCGCCTGCGGCGGGCGGGTGGGCGAAGTTTCCTCCCCCGAATCCCGCCGGGGAGGAATCGCGACGGGCGGCGGCTCCCCCGCCCCGGGGGCCGCGGGACGAGCTGCTCCGGCGGGCGGGCGGGCGGGCGGGCGGCGGCTTCGGCCGCGGAGCGGGCGCGGGGAGCCGGGCGGCGGCGGGGCGGAGCGCGGCCGCGGAGCCGGCCGCTCCCGCCGCAGCCCCGGAGGCCGGGGGCAGCCGCGGCCCCCACCCCCGGCGGCAGCGAGCCTGCCCCGGCCGCCCGCCCGGCCCGGCCCGGCCCTGCGCCCCGGGGCCGCTGCCCGAGGGCAGGGCCGGGGGTGCCCGGCGGGCGCTGGGGAGGCCGGGCACCCTCCGGGCTACGCGCCCGCTGTCTGCCCCCGCCGGGGCCCGGGTCCGTGCGGAGCTGTCGGGTGTCGCACGGGAGGCAGGGGAAATCCAGAGAGAGCCTGCGGTATGGGCAGGACCGGGAAGGCAGGCAGAAATCTCTCAGGGAGGAAGCGGACGGTGGTTCTCATTTCTCCTGTAAACAGCTCGTATACTTTCTTTGTAAAGAAACGCGAACGTGGCACTGCCGAAGAGCCCGCATTCTTCCCCAGTGGAAAAGTCCCAGCTCAGTCCTGTGTATTTGCTAACCACTACAATTCTCAGCGGTGCTCCCGTTGAAGCACTCTCTGGAACGGTAAATCGATCTCTTTGCGATTCAAATACCGAGAGAAACCACTTCCTGAAAGGATGATGAAAGTGTAGTTGCTGTTGCAATACTTTAACATCTTCTTACGGTTTAGTATCTGTAATACCACCTAACTTTCAAAGCATTAGGAGTCCGTCATTTGAAGGGTGTTTCCTAAGAAAGCTTTTCTTTCTTTCCAGAAATGGCTCGATTCTCTTTCCTGAATGTGTTTTTTGTCTTACCAAGTAACACCAGATAAAGAGAAGACGGAATGAAACCCGTCTCTATGGTTAGATTTTAAAAAGGCTCAATTTCTGGAGGGTTTGCCACAAAGGTGCGGATCTAGAATTTCAACCTTTTCTGACGGTGGAACCCTAAACATTTCACAGCAGAGCTACTGACCCCTTTAGGATATTGCACACACGAATTGCTGTGAAATGCACACACACTTGTCTGTCTGAGTCATCTTTAGCATTAAAGTCAAACGGAATTCTCTTGAACTTTCCGAGTGTTACTGAAATAGTTTCCTTTTTATTCGAGTAGTGGTACACCGTGATTCCCGTGGTGCCAAGGCAGACAAATGAATACTGGAGCTGACACCTTCGGCACACAGCCCAGAAACAGTCACAGGAATTGGGGTAACTTTGCAGTAACCTGGAAGTATTCCTCTGAAGTGCTAAAGTGTTAGTGCCAGTGTAGAAAGCATCAGACACTGTTGTTCTGGTATACCTGGAACACTGGTTTCTCCTTGAAAGCAGGACAGGTAAGTTTTAGTACAGAGGACATTTGGCTTGCCTCAAAAGAAATGTATTTATTTATTGGATGGACGATGCTTCTCTGAGATGTTCGTGCTTTCTTTGAGGCCAAGAAAAATCTTGTCCTCTCCTAGCCTCCTTGGGCTTCCAGTTGTGTCCCAAGTATGTTTTCCACCCACTCGTCTATAACAAAAGCAACTACACTCCAAGTCAGGGAGACAGTAATTCAGTAATTAATAACCGGGCGAGCTATTTAATGGATGAGCTCTGAGTCTCACTGACTCTTTGCCATCTGCCTAGGCCTTTTGATTTACACTGATGATGTATTTAACTGCTTGTAAGAGTCATATCTGTGCGTTGCTGCCACCACATTTTTTTCAGCCCTATTAAAGGAAACAGCTTTTATTCTCTCTACCAGAAAGCTATGAATTAAAGCACTGGCTAGTCTGATGGAAGGTGTTGTTACATATCACATCTCTTGCCTGTGCTAGAAACGCACATGCTCTGCTAGTCTGTAATATGAAGAACTACATCGTCAGCTTGTGTACACTGCAAGAGACTTTATTTGGGCTATGTAGCTGTCCTTACGAAGTTTAAAGTGAGATTCATTTCCCTTGAATTATGTATCAAGAGTTTCAAAAAATGCCCTAGAGTTAGATGAATCATGAGAGAGAATAATGCACAGTAACAAGACAAACTGACATATTAAAAAAACCCAACCCTGAACCTGAAGCCAAAATAAAATGAAATTTCAAAACCATGAGTATAACCTTCCTATAAGAAGCAATTTTTTTTTTTTTCCAGTGCATTTCTGTTTTGTGATTGCTCACTGAGGAAGCTCTGTGACTAGCTCTTTGGTTAGAGGTTGTTCAACAACAGCTCTCTGCAAGTAGACAATTCGGAAGAGTTGTTACTGGTTAATACAGAGTAGACACATCGCTCCTAGGACGTATCTCCTCTTTGATCTTAGGTATATAAAAAAAGGACTACAGTTCCTGGGGCAAATATCATGAGTGTTCTGCTACTGCGTTCCTCAATGTGTGTTGTCTCCTTTTGCTTCTTTAACAGAAAACTTAGTCATCTGAACAGTACTGGAAGTGGAAAAAGATCTTTTCTGCACTGCACTGTGCCACTGAAAAAGTAAAATGGCAGTGAAGTATCAGTCATCAAGATCCTCACAAAAAGATAGCTTCTTATTTTACTGTTCTGTCACATGCTTCTGGTGCGGAAATCTTTGAAGAAAAAGATAGAGTCTTGACTGACAACTTATTTCTCTGATGCAAGGAATAGTTGGCCACAGATGCTTCTGACTCCACTGGGGACAAGCCAGAGGTTTCTTAGGGTCCAGTCCAGAACTCAGTATCATCTTCCCCGCAACTTTATCACAACTTTGTTGCCTTCTGTGGTCTCTTTGGCTTTGCCTTTCTGGCATCAACATTCAATAAATATAAAAATAAGGAAGATTTTCAGACCAAACTACTTCAGTGGTTTCTAACTCTGAACTACTTCACACCACTCCTTAACACGAATTAATTGATGCAAGTACATCACATACTCTTCCAAAAGGAGCTCAGATCTCATATAAAGTGTACCACACAAAAACTAACTCAGAATAATGCAGAACTCTTCCAGTTACAGTGCAGGAGTGGAGTACTTGTTAGCTCACAGGAGTTGCTAGGCATCTCGTCCAAAACACTGGTTCTGCAGTCTCCTAAAAAATGCCATTCTTCCAAGAATCAATGCTATGCAGGTTAGGAAGAAAGTCAGAGAAACGAAGTGACAAGCCCCAGCTACTCAATCCCAGCAACTCCTGTCTCTATCGCACTTACAGGCCCCTGCAGCCAATATTGCACTCCAGATTTAGCAACCAAAACCCCAGTCAAGGACCAAAACTCCAGGCCCACTTCTTGCACTGCCTGAGTACAGTTCACACTGCCATTCTTTCTTAATCTCTTTACAAGCACCAGCTAGCCTATTTGCAGAAAGGCCAAGATGGATCCATGTGCAAATCTGAATGGAAGTTGGCAGAAATTCTCTCTCATCATGTGCACAGTCCTTCATAGAAGACTGCTGCAAAGTCATTTGGCTGGATGTTGTACCACCTTTATTATAAATACATAGAATAGCATATTAGCATTTTTGCAGAAGGTGCTCTCTCAGGGTAGGCCTATATCTGACTTCTGAATAAAAGACTTGAAGCTCAGGAAGGCAGATTAGTCATAATGAGCCTTGTGAACTTGAATGCTCTGTATTTTTTTCATCTATTCTGCCTAAACAAGCAACATTACCAGACTCTTACTTGTACTCACTTCTAGTGTAGAGGGAATCTTTGCTTTCCTCAGCAGAAGAGACGCATAGAATTATTAGGGTCTGAATTAGCTTCTGGGAAATGATTAGCTCTGTGCCTTCCACTGGTGCGTGAAAGCTGGTTAGTCCTGCCAGAGAAAGTACCTTCTACTTGCTACAGACTTGTCTTCAATTGCGTGATATGAAATCTATCCTTGGGAAATTCAAGCTCTTGACATAGCTGTAGATATTGTTGTAACCAGCCACACAGAGTCATAATTTGACAGCAAGTGTCCTATCAAATTTGCTGTACTTTCAACAGAATGAGCTAGTAATACGATGTAAAAATGATGGGCTGCATCAGAAGTACCTCAGGTGACACGATCTGAGGGTCGGGCCTGATGGTTTCTGAAGTACTTTCTCTTCTGGTTTCTCTTTTTATTCTAATCTAGCAGAACAGACTGGAATATGAAGGAGCTGTAACTTGGTAGACACAGTTTTTCCTGTGATGCAAACTAATTGTAATACTTCGTTACTCACTCAACTCAGAACATTAACAGCCCATTACATGCAGTTCACTGCTAGACGTGGCTTGTTCTTTTATTGCTGCAAATTCCAGTGAATTGTGTTCCTCAAGATGAGAGAACTTCTGTCTCTGGACCCCCAGGAGTCAATAGAAAGATGTACCATAGTGGGCTGCCTTTGATGTCTGTTGGCGTGGAGCCTGTGTGGACTAGGCAGCTGTGTAGTACATCATGTTTCACCCAATTGCTGTGATCCTCAAAGCAGTGTGGTTGCTACATACCTGTTGCATTCTCAGTGCCTTTGAGCCGAGATCCAATCTAGTCACACAATGCTGGAGATGACTGAATCGGTTCAGTTCAAGTTTAAGAAATCAATAGTCTTTTGTGTGAGGTTTCTTCAGAAGCCCAGATGGGTATCGATACCTCTCTGGAGAGCAAATGAATTCTCATCTTCTTATATCTTTTCCAAAGATGGGCTAGGAGAATGCTAGTTTCTCCCATGAATAAGGAGTCAATAGTGAGTTCAAAATATTTTTTCCAATGCACCAGAAGGCTCTAATGTTAGAGAGGGGGTTGGAAAAAGAAAGCTCTGACCTGCCTCTGCTATGAATTTACTGTGGGGCACTGGTATCAAGGTTTTGCCTTTTCTCTGTCTTAGCCTAAAGTTAGGACAAAGTTTCTGGATTACCGTGGGCTTGGAGTTTGCAGATTAATCAGCATCTCACGTGCTCAATTAAGATTCAGGCCAATCTGCATTCTCTACCTGTTTTGGTGAAGGAAGTCTCTCTCTTTGCATACAAAATTACTGTTAAATACTTGATCTGGACAGAGTGATTTAAATGGCCCTATGTGC